TGCAATGTTTACGGTGTGTGACAATATTTTTGCGCTGGATGCCTGGCAAGTGCCAACATGGCAGTCAGTCAGCGTTTACAACTACTATATAAAGTAATCCAAAAAGAAAATATGGCTTAAAACACACATACACATGTCTACCAATATTCTTTTTCATTAAAATTTATTTTCACACATCCCACGTTAATTAATGAAAATATGCTTATTAAACTTTATATTCCAAAGATAAGTAGTTCGTTGTGGGAAAATGAAGTGGGAAAATGCTGAAATTTCCATGCAGTAAACGATACCTGAGAATCCTGCCTCCCGGCTCTTCAACTATAAAGTTTCTGGTCATATTTTGCTCAAGTTCTCAGATACTACATTCAAAACTAGTCAATATTTTGAGAGCTTTGCAAGAGTTTTAACTACAGCGCTCTAACCACTTTAGCAGCAGCCAGAAGGACTAAAGATAACAGCCCAAAATCCAAGCCAAGTTATCCATCCTAAGCCATTCAACTCTTTCTGGCAGCAGCAGCAGCAGCAGCATCAGTATGGAAAACACTTGCCAAAACAAGTCGCGCACTTTGCCATCAGTCGACGGCCAAGTTGGTGGAGTAAAGGGAGTCAGGATCCGGCAGGCAGACGGCTCGTCTCAAGGACCCGGGCTATATATGCATACTAGGCACTATAAAGTTTACCATGTATTCATATTTCATATATAGTATATTTCTTGTGCATGTGCAACTCTTTTCAAGACATAAATTTGCGAAATGCCGTGCGTTAAACAGCTGATGTTTTATGGCCTTCTGAACAACACGAATGTGCAGAGAAAGAAAAGCTGGCCTTCTAATGCTTAAAATTTTACTTATTCTTCACCTACTTATAAGCTTGAAAATACCTTCTTAGCCACCCGAATAAAAAGATAAATAAATTTAGTCAAATTCACCATTATTTCCCATAACATATTGTTCTCTGTGTGACATTGCGGCTAGAAAGGCCGTCGAACTGCCTTGGCAAAGCAAATTGCAATGCATTTCTACTCAACGCGTCGGGTGTTAGTTGGAATTTCAAATTTGTTTTTGGTAGACGCTCTCTCTCGTCCCAAAAAAACAAAACAGCAAAATTTATAAAACAAAAAAAAACATAAAGGAGATAAAAACTCATGCCTTCTCCTTAATTTGTGTATAATAAGTGCTCTGCTCGGGCACGCTGGCGTATGATGAATATTTATAATGCCGGGCCAGTGGCAGCGATAGCTGCAGCATCTTCATCGCTCAGAAACTCAGCGCTGAACTTTTTAAGCAAACAAATGAAAAATGAATTTCCTGCTTATGTTTATGCTTGGCATATGCTGAATGCTCCAGCTCACACACACATATATACGCACTTTTACAAATACCATCAAGGCAGACAAAGGCAGAGCGTGAATAAATATTACTCATACGCAGCGTTGTGCAACATTGTGCAAATGCCAGAGGCAAGTATTTACACCTAGACGGAGCACAATCAAATGCTGCACAAATGTGTGAAAAATGTATAATATCCACAAGCATGTGTGGGTCCGACCGGGCATCCATACATCCGTATATATATATATATATAGATCTACATATATATGGTATAAATATATGGGAATTGGTGCTGCAAAATGGCTTCCATGGCAACAATGCTATGCGGCAGCAAGTGCCGTCAGCAACAGCTACAGAAGCCCAAGAAGAAACAGCAGCTCACGCTCATAATGATTATCCATTGAAATGGAAATTCCAGCCAAGGATTTAATATAATTCGCAATGCGTAGAGTGTGCGATCTGCTGGGCGAAAAGTTTTGAAAACTTCATCCACCCGAGTAGCAGACACAAGGATGCACCTCAGCATGAGTTGCAGGCCCAAAGAATAGAATTCAATTTAAATAGATTTCCGCTTAGGGGAAATTTAAAAGAGGGAAAAAAGCGTTTCCCTGCAGAGAAGGCAATTGTTAACACCGAGCCAGCTTGCTGGGGCGTTTCCGTTATTGTGGATGTGTGGGCGTACCAGGCTGATTGAAAAACTACTAACTACAAACACTTAACACACCCAACCATGTCCATGTATGCACAGAAAAAAAAAACAAAAATACAGAACAGATAAAATAGGATAAAATTAAAATAAGGAAAAATTTAAATATATAGTTGAAAATACATTAACCCCTTTTGAATCAGTTATCAGCTAGGTTAACTATAAAGTTGTTAAAATTTTCTTTCAGTATGACCATGCACTGAGATGGCACAAAAAATAGTGATAGAAAATAAATAGGAAAATGAAGAGCTGGCATAACAATCGAATGATGTTTATTTAGACGAAATTGATATTCTCTATTCGATTTAAAGTGCTGTTAATTTAAATTGATTTTTGGATTTTCTTATTCTAAAATAAAATGGTCATTTTATAAATCAAAAGCATATACATTTAGAAACCATTGAATTAGCCTGGGATTATCGTCAAGAGAAGTACACCGTACACCAATACGGTTAGAGCATCGCCCAGGATGTCTTACCGCCGCCTTCGCTCGGCAAATATCCTTCTCAAAGGAACCGAATGCTAAGCAAACGTGCGTGCGAAAAAGGTAATTGAAAAATAGTTACCATTTCCTTTGCTACCTGGAGAGAAGGAAAAACTGAAGTTTTCCTTCGCTTTCGCCATGGCCTTTCGACAAATTCTTTTTAGATGAAGTTCGCTCGCTGGCAATTGCTTATTTTAGCGCTTCCCATTGGCAATTCGCTATTCGCAATTCGCAATTGCTGCAATTGAAATGCAGCCAAGAGCCTGCCCACTTACTGGCAATTCCCTGGCACTCGAATTAAATTTTAATGAAGTTATTTGAATTTTAATTATTTCGAACTTGTTCAGGGCACCCCGCTTCTTTGGCGCCGCTTAAATCAATGACCGGAAAGCATTATACAATTATATTTATATGCATGCATAAAAGTCTAGTGTGTGTTCGTCTCTGTGTGTGTGGCTGTCAGCTGGCGAATGATTTAAGTTGGCCGGTCGCAATCCTGGTTTTTTGGCCCGGTCAACCGACCACATGCCGGCAGCATATTTCAAACTGTCCGGCTAAATCACGGCCAAACGCAAAAATAAAATCACAAAAGCGACACCGTTCTCTGACTTTCGGAGGCAATAAAACATAATAATTAACATTTTGCGAGCCGTTTTGATAAATGACGATGCGGTGTTTCGTTTAAATTATACATAACGTAGCATACTTTTCAGCGTTATGCTAATGGCCAAGCTCAACCGCAGACTTGCATGGCAAGTTTTAATTACATTTCGCCCAAGTGTGTGACATTCGGAGGTACATTCATATATATATATATGTATGTGGGTGTGTGCTGCATTTCCATGAGACTGACAGCCTAGGAAAAGTGCGAGCGGAAAAGCAGAAAATGTAAGTAATGACTAAATGCGCACTCTGACAGTTTAACATGACAAAAATGTTCTCGTTTCCTTATTTCTGTTTTAGTTCTTTTTTTGTTTTTCTGTAGTCTTTCCGTCATTTTTCCTCTTTTTTTCGCTGAGCTTGATAAATGATACACCACCAGCCACTAGCAACAATGTCCTGGCAAACTTTTTCTGGACAGATACGGTTAACATTGTTGCTGGCGCTACACTTTCACTGCACTCGGGTCGGCAATTCGTTTGACCTCCACTTCCCTAACCCCTTTTGGCCGCTTTGTTATAGGGAAACCTTTGAGTGAGCGAAGGGGATTTCCATCATAAACCAAATACAAATGCACCATAAATACGAGAGCGGGACATGAATGTGTTAAAGTAAAAGGCAAAGTCCCGCCGGCAAATGAAATGAAATGGAAAGGAATGCTCAAAGAAAGTCAGAATAAAAAAATTATATATATATATATATATAAATATATGTATGCATGAAAAGGCGAGAGTATTATTTATGAGTTTGCGGCAAGTGGTGGTCAGAGATTTTCATTCCGTTTCCTTGGGGTCTTTTAGTAGAAAAAGTTGTTGGCCGTAGTTTTATGGAGTCCTTTAATGCCCTTTAAGGCACATTTTTTAAGTTATTTTAAATCGCTTTATAACCGAGTAGTAGTGTCACATTTCAGTGTAGATTAAAATCTCAAACTACATAAATAACAGCAAACTTTCACACTGCCAATAATAAATATAATATACTTTTTATGCTATCAATTATATAAATTTAAATTGTTAATAAAATTGTGGACAATTGGGCCTTTTTTAATTGTTTTTCTTGCATTTTCATGAACAATTTTTTGCTCTATTGTTTTAAAATTATTTTTAATTATTTTTCCTTGATTTGTTTTTATTAGTATTTGCTTTTAGTTCGCGCTAATTAATGTTTAATTAGTTTCAAATGTGCTTTTCAAATATTCCCAACGACCCACTTCAGACAGTGTACCCCATTTCTTACTGAGCCCATTTGACTTGAATTTTCCAGCCGCTAAAAGCTTAGGCCCATTTCGTGTCTCTTTAATTGGTGTAGAGCATAATTAATTAACCTTTGTCGAGGTGACCAAAAGCAACAATGCCCCAAAAAGGGCAAAAGGCAAAGAAAAAGGCCTGTGGCAGGGAATTAATGTGATTACATTTCTCTCGTTTGCTTTTAGTACACTTTTCAATTGTTGTGCCGTTTTAAATATTTAAAACTAAACAACATGGCCCAGTCGAATGAAAAACTTAACAAGCTTGAGAGGTGGCCAAAATTCGAGGCGACACAAATATCCACATCCTATAAATACAACTTTACATATATAGGAGTATATATGTGTTGCAGTTGTCGCCAAGAGGCGTTTGCTGACTGTGCAAATTGTGAGTTTCATTGATTTTCAGTTTCACACTTGGCTCGCATGGCATCGCTTTTCGGTACGAATATCCTTGGCATCCTGACGGCATGCCATGGTTGCATTTTTAATGCGCATTGCAGTGACCGAGCCGAGCAAATATTTAATAAAATTTTTAAATTGCGCATACGCCGCTGGTGACCGAGGTCAAGGCACATCCAACTGGGAGACTGTATTCCCGTCTCCATATTCCATCCGCTTTTCTATTCTTGACTCCACTCTAAAAATTTGGCTTGAACTTGTTTTTTATTTTTAGTTATTTGTTAAGAGTTTAAAAATATTTTAGTTTTGTTGGTCAATGGGTTATTAATCGCAAGATTAATAATAATTTATAAAGGACTTCGAAATTTAGTTTTACGTTTAAAAAAAAAGCACCTACCCAACAAGATTATACTTTGCTTATGCTATTGTTTAAGTTTAAATTTTTAAATATGGAAAAATTTTAATAGCTGTATATTAATTTATGTGATATTAAAAAAACTCCTTTCAATATTCTTCTATTTGCCACTGGCTGTTGAGCAATTACGCACGAGGTGAGCGTGCCCGCGTCTTATTGTGGAATGGTCGCACAGCGAAATAGTAGATAAACTCGATGGCGCTAAGAAGACTGGCCCCCAGGAAGAGTCCGAGCATCCCGCCTATGGAGACAATTACATCCAAGCGCGTGCGGATCGCCTGTCGGCGATACTGATCCGTCGGCAGGAAAGGCATATCAAGCGTTCCATTGAAATATTTGTTTGGGTTCCTAACCCTGTCAAAATTGAAAATTTAAAATTAACTTTAAAATAATAAGGATAAGTCCTAAAGCGTTCCCGCTATTCCGAAACTTTTTTAATCCAGTTAAAAAACTCACATTAATTGGGGCTCGTAAACGACATGTATATCGCCTTGATTGCAGGATGGCAGGCATCCACAACTTTCATTGTTGAAATGCTTATTGTTGCTATTCAGTATCCTACTATCCGGTCTGACCATACGAGCCAATTCCAAACAATACAAACCCGTTAGATCGCAGTCTGGGAAGCGTGGATCAGCATGTGGATTGTAAAAAACCGAAGTGCAATTACACGTCTTCATCTGCAATTCCCTAACACATTCGCTGATGCAAACACTGAAACTATAAACTTTATATATACTCGATGACGGATTTTCGTCCGGGAAATAGCAGCTGCGAATCTGTGGTGCAACCTCTCTTACATCTGGATCATTTACCATTTCCACCTGATTGAATTGAATGTACTTGGACAACCCAGGTGTGATCAGTTGAACTCCGGTCGGAGATAATGCCGTATGTGGAATATCCTCCTCATTTATCAGAGTCACTTGCACCGCCATAACAGTAACTAAATTTACCACAGCCTTTTCATTGGCAGGATCTAATTGATTCGGCAGCCAGTGCTTCGAACCTGGCTCATTGTTCAGCAACGAATTAAGTAAAAAGCATTGCCCATAGGGTGTCAACAGGGGTTGAAAGTATTGGCAACAATTAAAAGGCCTTCCAGATATATAGCATTCCACAAACAAGTCCGAACAGTTAGCTCCATACTGATGATAATATTTAAATTTTCCACATTTACCAAAGAATCAATAATAACCAATTTCATAAAAACTTAAATACCTACTCACCCACGTAAGAGTTTGTCGAAAATCACCCTCGGGACACGTAGCACACGGGTTTAAGCAATTTTTTACGGCTTCCGCACATTTGGTCTTGAATGCGTTCTCGTTGTATTGTACGGGAAACAGAATCACGTTCATAGCGGATTCTACATCAAATGGATATTTCCCGTTTAGATCTACGCCCAAACTGAAAAGGCCACATGCTCATTACCAGAAATTATATCATCTTGGAGACCAACAAACCCTTCTATATAATCGACAATTGTGGGAAACATAACATTTTTCTGGGCCATTTCACAAACGCTGACCGTGGGAAATTTCCATTTGGTAAATGGAGGCAGACTTTCAAAAACAATGCTGACAGCTCTAGAGGGAAAACTCCGCTGATATTCTGTGATCAGATGGTAACAGCCAAAGGACGAAATAAGAACACAAAACAGCCAAAAGATGCGTTCCGTGAAATGCAACCTAAAGACCCGAAAGCAAATTCTCAGATTTTGGTAGGACCCAAACCAACCATTTGCAAACCAACCTGGAATTGGCAATGTAAGCGAACCCAACCAGTGTGCAGTTGGTGCAGTAATCCTTAATATGGGTCGCAACACCGTAGCTTCTCTCCTTCCATTTCTGGCCGTTGCCTTTCGCACTTACATTTTCAACCATATCTGCTGCTGAAGTATCCTTCGTCGATCTCCGAACTCTGAAGCTTCGTGGCAGACTGACCGGGACATATAAATTGGTCTTGACCAAGCACGACACGGTCAGCTACTCGTTGGGTAAATTTGTTTGTTGTCCGCTTTCAAGTGGATGTGAGTCCACTGTGAGAAAATATATATTATTATATTTCTTTTAAAACAATATGCATATAAAAAAGAATTCTGAAATCTTTATTCATAAATGATCTTATGACCATTCATAAATCTTTATACCAAATTCTCATGAAAATTAGAGTTTTTTAATTTTTTTTCTCAGTTCACCAAAGTGAGTATATGAGTAGAGAAGGGGGCGTGGCAACTTAATGGCATGCAAGTACGGTCCCCATGCTCGCACACAAATTTCTTACCAAAAACCCCACAGCCCAGACAATCCCACCAAAGTTGGCATGGGAGTGCATGTGAAAAGCCTTTAATTGGTATTTGCTTTGTGCAGGTGTCGCAATAAGGATTTAAATGCACACTCACCCGCAAAACAGCACACCTATATATATATATATATATATATATATATATATATATATGTATCTGCATTTATGTCCACTTTAATTTCATGCATTCTGCGGCCCAGGTGACACAGAAATCAAGTTGGAATTGTCGCACTTAAGCTGCGAAACTGAAATCCGATAATTTCACCCAAGGTCGATTCACAAAATATGCCTCATTGGCTGCACCCGATCGAAAGCAGACATTTTTAATTAACATTCAAATGTAAACATAAAGGTAAACAATTTATTTTCCCTTTAAAGCCGCATTCATATACGATAAATATTCAATGGATATATACCTTTGTAGCTTTATCAGCCAGTAAAAACTGTTTCATTTATCGTTTGTTTAAGTTACATATCATTTATTCTTCATAAAATGTAAGGGTATAACAATATAAATATTAAAAATTATTTCATTTTTTAATAAACCTTGTATTTCTGTAATATAATAATTTATTTAATAATAAACACATTTTAATTTAAAAATGTATTAAATGCCATATTTTCCATTCTCCCCACTGATCTTTGGCTATCAACTTTTGTAGCGAAACATTTTGCGGCACTTGCTGCCACCTGGGCTTTATGCGAGCACGTTAAACTTTCTCGACGACGTCCCGACACCTTTGGCCACTCACCGCCCACAACCCACATCCCATTCAATTTTAGTAGTTAAACCAGCCAACCGCCCACTACACCTACAGCCAGACGTTAAGCCACCCCATTTTTCCTGGCCAAACTTCGAGTTCTGTGATGAAAATACGTGCACTTGCAGTGAGTTATTAAGTAAAATGAGTGAGTGCACACACGACACCGTACTCATACGGGTGCAACTCAGCCCACTCACACACACACACATGTGCATAAATTGTAGTCAACATGTTTTTGGTGCTTAGAACTCGACGCTAAATTAGAATTATGCAATTACGGCTCATTTGCGCTGCACACGGCTGCTGTTGTCGCTGCTGGAAAAACACTTAAAAACAATTAGAGTGCTTATTGAAATTCGAGCTGACAACATGCGAGTGCCATGAAAAACTAATGCGAACATTTTAATTATTTATGCAACTCTGAACATGCAATGAGCCAAATTGTTTCCTAAATCGCAATGGAGTGATATTTTCTACCATTTCTGTGACATTTTCCATTTGTCATTTGTCGCCAAGCACGAAATGGCTAATTTTCTGTTTTTATTCCCAAAATTAAACTGTGCAATGGTATAAAGGTGCGTTTGTTTAATAAAATTTAATTTATTTTTGTATAAGAAAAATAAACAAAAATACTTTAAGATATCTCTATCAAAATCAACTCTTAAACTTTGCAATTTGCGAAGTTGGCCCATAGTACAAATCTTTAAATAAAAACCTTTATTACTCTCATCGAAAAAATGTCAAGTTATATCCACTCGACTCAGTTATTGGTCACAATTGTCGTCTGGCAACACAAGCCAAACAAAGTTGTTAAATATTTTGCATACTTCATATTGGTCATTTTCTGAGAGATATTTCCAATTGAACTCGAAAATTGGACGAGCAACTCGAAAGCAATAAAAGGCCAAAGTAAACAAATATTTCAAAAATAAACAAACAAAAGCTCTTCACCCGACACGTATATAACGAAAAATATAGTTTGCTGATTGCTTTCCAAAATGAAAACAAAAATCAGTACCTATGAAGATGACGGAAAAATATTTGGCAATGTTTTCTTTATGATAAGAAAATCGTAGATTTAATCTGCAGATTTTAATTAAAGCTATCGAATTATGAGGTGCTAACAACGACGCCAACAATGTTGAAAGGAACTTAAAAAAGTAGACAGTGAACCTGTATTTTATAGCATCTACACGTGACTTCCAAATATCATTCTGTATTTTCAGGTATATCAATGGAATACCTATCAAATGCAGAAAAATACAAAACCAACTAAACAAGCGACAAGGCAATTTAAATACAAACAAGCAGACATACAATTCGGTAGACCAACGAATGTTTGAGTGTTGGGACGAGTGAGGAGAGAGAGAGTGGTGGTAACATCGTTGACGTCGACACACAATTAACTTCAAAATACTCCAAGCCATGTTAAGTGTCAATTAGCCAGAGCCAGAGCTTGCCAGCCATGAATTCGAAATTATACAGCTAAAATATCAAACATACACAACTATTTACATATTCAGATATTATTTTATATATAATTGCGTATGCTAAACAAGTTACCAAAGCTGATTATCGCCTCCAGATAGAAGCCAACAAAATTGCATGGAAATAATGAGATCTGCTATCAAGATGGCTCGGCGAGGAATCTCTAAATAGCCAAAGACTAATCAAATTTAATGTGCCCAACCAGTGAGATCATCATTGAGTTCATCAAAGTCAGCCGGCAGTTTTATTTTTTGATTTATTCTCACAGAAACCGTTCTATCATAAAACGCCCATCATTTATAATGGGACTTTTAAAGTTCGAGATTAACTTATATATAAATATTAAAAAAGTTTCAACAAAGGCGAGCCTTCAACTAAATGACTTTTGCTTTTGAGTTGAACTCACATAATATCCAAACATTTCATTTCTAATAACCAGCAGACCCAAAATGGTCAAAACAGCGGCAATAAATAAAATCGAGAATCGAACAAAAATCAAAAATGATATTGCTAAAACATGGAATGACCAAATATAATATGCAGACCGCAAAACAATAAAAGTGGACAGCAAACAAAAAACAGATAAACAAAATTTTGGGCAAAACAAAACCAAAACGCTATACACCAAAAATCGTGTCCAAGTGCCACGTTTTGTTTTGTCTAAGCGACAGGGCGGTATAGGGCCATGACCCCGCCCCCTTTTTTTTCGGCCAAACTTTACTCCCACAATCGCCCACCTCCTAGCCTCCATTCAACGTTTATGTTTGGCCCGGCACGCTTTTGCAAACAAAACGCCGTTGTTTGTGTTCCCACATGCGCTGACAATATCGCAACAATGTCGGTCGACAACAGGCAAAGAACAACGAACGCTGCTTCATGCTGCCCCAAACTACTCCTAAAAGAAAAGCGTCCGAAAAAAGAGGAGGGAAAAATCAAATGGGATACAAAAAACTATATGATGGAAATTTCTGCCCGAAGAGCACAGGAAAAAATAGGTAAAGTAAACAATGATATTATCTTTAAAAATGAAAGAATGACATTATTTTAATTAACGTCATTTAAATAATTTTAGTCTGTTTAAGTGCGATTTTTATATCTTTTTACTTATAAAAATGATTAATTTAGTAATCTTACATAAAAAATGTAAAACTTTAAAACTTGAGAAAACGGCAAATATTCTAAATCAAAGAATTTAATATATATGCTAAAAATAATAATAATAATTTTCTATTAATTAAAAGATTGATATTTTCCAGTGTGTGTCCGTAAACAATTGGCGGAACGACACTAATGGAAGCTCTACTTTTGTCTTCCGATTTTCTGAGCTCCCGAGACAAGAAAATCGAGTACAGAGGCAATAAAAGGCCAATAACAATGCAATAATCATAATAATACCAAAGGCAAACCATCCAGTCGGCAAATGTTGCTGCTGCAACAGCAACTAGCGACTAGCAGCAACTAGCAACAGCGGCAGTGGCAACAGTTGCTTGCAGTATCAGCAATAAAAGTTGTAACAATTATCATTTGAAAGTGCATTGTTCCAGTTGTCAGATGCGGCGCCTAAGTACTTGCAACAACAACACCAACAGCGCATGCAACTCGTGCCACAAGTAAAAGAGCAACAACAACAGCAATTGTCTACGTCAGCGCCTGGTAAAATTAATATGCACAATCCGCTGCAATTGCAATTTGTTGAAGAAACAATGAAGCGCGCAAGCAGCAAAAAAACGAAGAAGTAATATTTTACATATTGTCGCATAAATTTCAAAACGATAATCACTGAAGAATATCAATTAGTTGGGCGCTGCCTTTCGGGGCAGTGGAGTCTTTGTTTAATGTGGAGCAAAAGCTCAGATAATGAGTTATAGATTTGACTTGCAGTGATATATGACTAAGCTAAGAATTAATTTGTTCCACGCTCTGGGAATTCATAATGGAATTTGCCAGTTTCGATGACAAATAAAAGCTGCTGCTGGTGGAAACAGAGAGTTCATAATATAGTAAGTCGAGTGAGAATATCCATTCAGTTATATTCTAGGGACTATCTAAACCTTGGTAAGCTTGGGCTATCAGGACATGAGTGCAATTAAAACCAATACAGAGCAATTAGCCCCAGTGGCCATAACCTGTCTGCCTGATGCTCCCTGTTGGCTTTTAATAATGAAACCACATAAATCTTTTCATTAAAGTTCAATTAATCAACAGCCTTCCTGTCACTGCGCATAAATCTCATAATGCACCCACCCACACATGTGGCTTGCCTTTGGCTTGGGTTCAGAATGCAGAATGCAGAATGCAGACACGGATGCACAGACACAAAACATGGCCACATGGAGCTCGATTCACG